TCCACGCACAGAATGCTAGTAGAGATCTGGCATGAAATGAGGCTGGCTGCTTCCTTTATAGTGCTGGCCTCCTCACGCTGGGTCTGCATTGGCTCATTTCAGACCTTCCTTTGTCCCAGACCCTGCATTGCATGTGTCCCAGTACTTATCCCGATGAGGTTTGCTGCTGCTGAGGCCCTTCGGCCTGGATTTGGACTTAGACCTCTGAATTTGGACTGTTTAACATACATAGACCAGAACTGGGACTCTGTTTATTGACTTCCTTTTGAACAGGCACAACTCTGAATGAACAGACACACTTACTGCCTGAACAAACATCTATATTGTGGGAATAGACACTCTCTTTCTGCACGAACAGGCACACTGATTTCACGTACAGACACATCCCTGTCTGAACAGACATGACATGTGCATCCCCTAGCGAACAGGTATAACCTTCGGCAATGACCTTTGGCACTGACTCCTTGCTTTAGTTTAGAGGTGCCCCTTTGACCAGAGAACTTGACTCTTGATCTGTTTCACGTTTCCTGGGTCCTGGCGAAATACCCCTTTACGCTGCTTTACTTTTACAAGGCCTGAATCGGGTAAAGGCCCTTTTATCGTCGTTAAGTCACGTTCCCGCCTGCCACGTGTATCCCCTGGTGTGCCAACATAGCAGCGCTTGAGTTTGCCACGTCAGCACTATAGTCCAGTCAACATCATCAGTGGGGTACACGTCAGGAGCAATATCAGCGCGTCGTACAATGCCACATCAGCCACGTAATGGAGTGCCACGTCAGACAATGCCACGTCAGCTTGAAGCTACTCACCACAGTAGACGAGTGGTGAGTCAAGATTGCCACGTCAGCACTCCTCCACATCCACCGGCCACGTCAGCAGTGCATCCCGATCGCAGATGCGATCGATCGGGATCTGGATGGCAACGCGTTCCTTGCTGGATTTTCCCCTACCAATGCCACGTCAACACCTGACGTGCACAATTCCAGTCTTATGCACGTCAGCTCCTCGGTTGTAGGCGTCACCACTTCTTCGTCGTCGTTCTGTACAGGTCGACGTCGTCAGTCACATCATCGAAAGTACAACTCCGATACCAAATTGCAGTGAACCCAGAAGACACTGGTTAACAATGCAAGCCCAGATAGGTATCAACCTGCTGATGATTGTCGATAATCATAGTCGTGTCCAAATAGAGTGAGATGGAAAATCATACATAGACGAAAAAGAGAGGAGGGAGAATAGACTTAGAATGGAGAAGAAGACAATGCTGACTCCTGCTTCGGGCTCCCTCCTTGCCCGCCACCTCAATAATCAATAGTCCGAACACAAATCTGAAGTTCTATCTCAATGTGCCACGTGGCACGTCAATCAGTCCTCATCAGCGAGCTGGAGCAATGTCGACGTCGAAATAACCAGGTACGTATCTACGATCGCCCCACAGTCATGATCTCCTCCCGAGTGACGATGAATCAGAACAGCAATACCAAACACGTAGCCTCGCCACGTCAGCAACAGTATATGTGGCATCGGCCATGTCAGCGGCGGCGCGTGGCAGCTGCCATGTCAGCATGCCCAGAAGACAATTGCCAGCCAGCCACCATGCCGAGCCAGCAACGCGACGCCGTGGTCGTCCAAGTGCCAGCGTAGAGCCAACGTCCAGCCAGCGTTGCAGGGTCGCGCTAGCGTTGTAGTCAACGCGTGAAGTCAGCATTGACGCAAGACAGAATGTTCTCCAAGCCAGGAGGTCCATGCTATGTAGCATTGATGCGGGGTCTGGACCCCGGTTGCTGCTTCCCTCGGTCGTCGAGATCTCAAAGCAAATGACGACCCATATAGGCCTGAAACCGAACTCCCTGTGGCCTTGATGCTGTCTGGGCACCTGCGCACAACAAGCGAGTGTGGAAGATCTGTGGCACAATAGTCCTATGTGTGGACAAGTGTAAAATTCACCCGGTTTTGAAAAGCGTGCTTCGACACAGGGTGAGAGTAGTGTGGAAGAAGAACAAGACGGAAGATGAGGTTCTGGCCAACCATCGAGAGGTGGCTAGAGCTACCAGTGTCCTCTGTAGTTGCAGTAATGATAGGCTGCCAAGAGAAGATGGACATCTGCTAGCTCGTATCTCACAATGTCCGGGAGTTTCCCCAGCCTTACATAACGGTAAGAATATCTTGCAAGGTGGTAGGTTTAAGAGCTGGTTGGAGTTGCAACAGGTTGTCAAACACTCTCTCGTGGTTGTTATGGAACCCAAGTTGATTCAGATGGCTAACCGAAGTTGCTTCGAGTCTTGTACCTCTAACCGCACTGTGACGGTACAAGCGAGCTCAGAGAAGATGAACATGTGCAAGCTCGTATCTCTCATTGTCTAAGAGTTCCCCCAGGGTTACATAACGGTAAGAAAGGAGGTAGGTTTTGTGGCCGGTTGGAGTCGCAACTGGTTGTGGAACGGTCTCTCGTAGCTGTTATGGAACCCAAGGCGATTCAAATGGCCAACCGTAGGTGCTTCGAGTCTAGTACCTTTAACCGTGCTGTGACGGTACAAGTGAGCTCAGAGGCGCAGGCGGGTGGTTGTGTGTCCATCGGCATACCACTTTGGCTTACAGATGATGTTTAGGTTGAATGCAGCCTACCAACAGATCTCAGATAAGTCTGAGACGGAAGTGTTGGCAGAGCTGAGAGCGGAATACAAGAGGCAAGGTTTAGACGAGATCGGAGCCTGGAAGCATGCAGCCAAGTTTGGACAGGCCTATGTCCTGCCTAAACATAAGGACCTGACGGGATGGAGGCCAATAGCACCGGCTTGCACTGAAGGATAAAAAATGGCAGGGAGGAGATTAGCACGTGCACTGAATTACTTGTTGGAGAGAGCCCCACGGACCAGTCTTCAACCTCAAAGCTACAACGATGCTGAAGCAGAACCTCAGATGATGCAGGACGGAGGCTCAATGTTTTTGGAGACAGATCGATGGCCCTCATGGCAAGCTATGCCATCAAGGAGATGTTTATGTTGTTGCTGTACAGACCAATCGCCCAAGCTGTTGATTGGTTGCTGCAAGTGTGGGAGAAAGGTGTTCACGAGTTGAGTCTTAGCAGAAGGGGCCGGGTTGTGGTACTTAATCAAAAGAGTTTAGGTCCAGGCTATGTTGTACTGAAATTCTCCTTGATCAGGAAAAATGGTCAGGTTTGAATTGTGTAGCACGTACATCAGTTGCAGGGCGATGATTCTCAAGCAACTAGTGGGCATTCCTGTCGGAAAGAATTCAAACCCCTCACTTGGATTGACCAATGGTTGGTACATGGGGTCAGGTTAGTGGATGATGTCACGTTGGCTGTAGCGTGTGACATGTACAACCCAGTGAGTATTGCTACGGCGAAGGGCATCCGCCGGAGGTTTGAGAAGCCGTAAGCAGCTTGTGCTGGTACAAACGGATGATGACTCCAACTCCTGGGATTTCCTGGGCACTAGGGCTATGGCACTTCCAGGTCCCATCACATTGATGATTCGTCCGATACACAAAGAATGGAGGAGTAACCTTTGAAGAGCCCCTTAAGTTCAGGTGTTTCCAAGATTTTGGTTCATACTCAGATAAGAGGCTGAAGGTGGGTACAGTCACGACTACCCTCCACAAAATCTGACAACATGCTAGTGACCCAACAACAGCAGTGGCGGCGACACTGGCTGTCAGCAATGAGCTCAAGCACTGGGAGTACCCCCCGACGCTCTTCTTCAAGGTTTTGGCTGGGTTTTCCAAAGCCACCGGTTCGTTCGGGACAACGCTGAGGACGTTGACTGAACAATTGGTCAGATTACACACAGGACGCTCGACCCCAAGAAGTGGGTGATGTACAAATGAGTCGGTCAATTAGTAGGGTATGGGAGTGGAAAATAGATTAGGGGATAAGCCTAGAAGTAGGGTTGTACCATAGTAAATGAAGTGTGACGAAAGAAAAAAACAGAGGGACGAAATGTTCATTTTTAGTAGCACGACGAGGGGAGAGGAAGTATAGGGAATATGGGGAAGGGGAGTGGAAACAAAATAGGCCGGCACTGTACGGTACCGCATGTACAGTAGGTAGTAGATGCGTAGAGTCCCGTACGGGGACGCCGGGGACGGTAGAGTCGAAACCGGCTCACTGCGATGCAACTGTTCCAGACTGGGCATGGATTTTTTGTGGAATGCAGGCTAGGTACAGATAAAAAGGGAAAGGCCCGGATAGAGCCTGCTACGCAGCGTGAGCCCCACCAGCAGACCACCTTACGTGTGATTTGAACACCTGGCGCAAACGTAGGAGAGCGCGTTAGGTTGTTGTGGGGTAAGGAACCACGAACGGGAACACCTGGTTTGTTACGAGTGAGCCAAGTCGATGGTCACCCAGTTGGTTACAACAGCACGGGCTGTGAGGGCGCGGACGTGGGAGTAGGCAACATATGTACAATTGACGGTAGATGTGTGGAGTCCAGTATGGAGTCACCGGGGACAGTAGAGTCGGAACCGGTTCACTGATGTGAGACCTTTTCAGACTAGTGTTATGATCCTGGCCAATTTTGAAATACACACCTATCAAATAGTACAATGCCGCCCAATTGCAGAAAGAAATGAATGAACTCGAGAGAACATAGAGGACTAGAAGAAGAAGAAGAAGTAAGAAAGAAGAAGAAGATGATGTACACCAACATAGAGAAATGACAAGGCTCTTCTTCTTCGCCCAACAATCTCCTCCTCCTTATCTCCCCCTTCTCTTATTCATACAAGAAATAATAATACAATGTTGAATAGCTGATCCAGAATCAATGTCCGAGTCCCTCTTCTACTGCAGGTATCACTTGAGGACCACCATAGCCATGGCCGCCTCCCCCACTCTTCACTCTCATAGGCCGAGGCTATGGTGGACTACTAGGCCTTGCCCAGATGCCCAAAGGACAACCCAAAGAAGCTATGGCTGCTCTAGCTCAGGCCGCCATGCCCAACCCTGTCTTGAAGCTTCTTGGTGTGGCTCTCCCCAGTTGGGGACTCCTTGTCGCAGCGCCCACCAAGGTGATGAAGATGGCTGCCACCATAGCGAGGTAAGTACCCTTGGCGCTCCTCCCCCTTCCTTCCTTCTTCCTCCCTCGTGTCCTTCTCCTTCCTCCCCAGCAGCGCTGCTCCAGCATAGCGTTGCTCCAACCAGCGCTCCACCAGTGTATCGCTAAACTTGCACACTGAAAAAGAGGCCGGGTTCTTTGCCCGACTGGGAGATATAGCGGCATGCTTGCCTCTTCGAGCGGTGACTTCCAGGCCGCTTGGCCTTCCAAGCAACGAACTTGGATAATCTACCAAATGATTGTTGAATGTAGGAAATATAGGTTGTTGAAGAATCGATAGTCGTCTTGCCRTAAATATTCAATTGTTGTTTGTATGGTGTAGTCAAATAGTTGAAAAACAAAAACACAATTCTAAGCTAAGACATTGAGGCTGTTGGTCGGTCGCGTTATCTCATTGGAGTATAGCCAAGTGGAAAGGCATCGGTTTTTGATACCGACATGCAAAGGTTCGAATCCTTTTACTCCAGCGATTAATTCCAATTCAGTTTTTGTTTTGAAAGCTGACGTACTAAACTTCGGAAACCTCCAAAAGAAGCCAAAACAAAACCTATCCAAATACAAAAAATGAAAGGTAAGTTCACTATGGTAGTATACCGACTAGTTTCCCTTTCGAAGGGAAACATCATTGCAGACTCTGATATTGCCCGTACAGGCCCTAGACCTAGACTGGTTGGATTCGTATCCACCTAGACCTAACCTACAACTACTGGGTTTCAAAAAATGTCACTTTTGTCTTTTTCTGCTTGACCTCTAGTACCCGCACATCTACCTCTTCAGGGTGCGGTACTGGCCTACCCGCTACTTGAGTGTTTTTCCTGCTGCAATCCCTCAATGTCATGGCCACAGGTAAGTACCGGCCTTGAGGGCCCAATGAGCGAGCAAGTGCCCTTGCGGGCCACACACACACTCGAGCCAACCAGCACTCAGACAGGCACGGCCATACACACACTCAAGCCAACCAGCGCTCAGACAGACATGCAGCCCAACAAGTAAGCACACACAGACTTAGTAGTAGGTGGAAACTCAGCAAGGCATTCAGTCTATGGGCAAAACTCAGAAATCAGTTGTGTGTTTCAGTCCATGTTTGGACGGGTCACCACACTAGGCATGTTCGGATCTGCCAACCGAGATGCAGCCTGTTAGGTGTAATGCCGGTGGTAGAATGGATGGAGTTGTTTTACAACCCCCTAACGAAATACAACTCTTCATCCCATGTTTTCGGATCCGGGATAATCAAAGCGCGGAGAAGTTGGAACACAGTTTGGTTGATTTCTTCAGCCAAACCGTTGGCTTCAGGGTGTCGGCCATACGTCATACACAGACCGATCCCCAAATGAGACGTGAAGTCCTTCCATTTAGTACTAATGAAGCGCGGGTCCCGATCGCTTACGAGGGTCTTCGGGGTTCCGAACTGCAGAATGTACTTCTGTTGGAACTCACGAATCACTAATTCTGTTGGGGCATGGGGCGGCAAAGGAATCAGAGTAAGGAAGTTAGAGAATCGGTCAACAATCACCATGACTTGTGAGTAGCCGTTCTTACTTACCTTTCCCATGTCGGTGAAGTCGATGGAGATAGACTCCCCGGGACCTTCAGGAATGGGTAGGGGTGTGAGTAGCCCCATGGGCTTTTGTCTGCATGGTTTGATTCGTTGACAGACTTGACATTCAACCACAAACTTTTCAGCAATCCCTTTCATGCCAGACCAATCAAACTGTATCAGCAAATTTGCGTATGTCTTTGCCATGCCGAAGTGTCCGCTCCGGCCATGAGCCAGATCCAGAAAGTGCGTGCGGAGAGGCTCATGGTTGGGCACACACAAACGGTCGTGGTTCCCGTAGCGACGGAAAATCAGTCCTCCATACTTGTGAAAATCGGGCTGGCTGCTAGGGTCAGCCCGTAGCCACTCAAGGATGGGGCTAAGCTTCGGATCGTGGGCGGTGTGCTCTATGAGCTCCTCCTTCAGTTTCCTCTTGAGGTCGTAGGATTTGACAAGGCAAGTCATGTACTCTGGGTGGCGAGACAAAGCATCAACTACTCGGTTATAACAACCCTTTTTGTGTCTTAACTCGAAATCGAAAATGTCAATTTCATGGAACCAGCGAAGCAAGGTAGGGGATAGGGTAGTTTGCTGTTTGATCCACTTCAAAGTTTCATGATATGAGAAGACTTTGAAGTGGCGTCCCAAAAGATGGTGTTTCCAGTGGTCCAATGCCATACGCAAAGCATAAAGCTCGCGCATGTAGGTGGAAGTGGCTACCTTTACGCTGGGCATGCGTTTGCTGTAGTACTCGAGCTGCCGTAAGCCATTGCCGTCGTCTTGCTGCAGCACTACGCCGAATCCATGCTGCGTTCGGTAACTACGAATGTCAGTTTGGGATCTGCAATGCGGAGTACTGGGTAACTTACCAAGGCTTCTTTTAAAGCTTGGAAGGCATTCGTGCACGCGGCGTCCCAAGAATAGGGAACATTTTTACTGGTCAACCGCGACAATGGACGAGCGACAATAGAGAAGCGGGCCCAAACTTCCGATAGTATGGCGCGAGGCCAAGAAAAGAACGCAGTTCGTGAATGTTCGCGGGCTGAGGCTAATTGCGAATGACCTCCATTTTGGTTGCCTCAGGCTCTAGGCTTGTAGCAGACAACCGATGCCCAAGATAGATGACGCTATCCTTCCCAAACTCAGATATTTCTAGGGTGAGATGGAGTTGCGTCTTCTTGAGGATAGTGAGCAGTTCCTCAAGGTGCTTGAGGTGTTCCTCTATGGACTTGCTCAAGATTAAGATATCATCGAGGTATACCACCACGAACCGGCCAATCTGTTCGCGGAGGACCTTGTCCATGAGGCTTTGGAAGGTGGCTGGTGCGTTCGTGAGACCGAAAGACATTACAGTAAACTCGTAAAGCCCATCGCGCGTTTTGAACGCAGTCTTGTGCTGGTCCGCAAGATCGACTTCAATCTGGTGGTAGCCAGACTTGAGATCGATCTTGGAGAAGACCTTGCACCACCTGCGGCATCAAGCAAGTCGTCTATACGAGGCAATGGATAGACATTCTTTCTGGTGATGCGGTTTAGACCGCGATAGTCAATACACATGCGGAGTTTGCCTCCTTTCTTTGAAACAAATAACACAGGAGCACCAAATTCAGATTCGCTAGGCTTGATCCACCCCTTGTCAATCACCTCATCAATCTGTCGACGGAGTTCCTCCAACTCGCCGGGTCCCATTCGGTATACGCAGCCCTTTGGAGGAACAACACCTTCAACCAACTCAATGGTGTGTCAGACCGATCGCGAGGGGACTCCACGTGGCTTGGCCATAACTTCCGGAAACCGATCGAGGAGGTTTTGGATGTTTGGTGGGCCCGGTGGGGGTGGGCGATCAGCAAAGGGATCACCTAGATCCGGTCACGACCGAATCTGAAGTTGGATCATTTGGACCATTAGAGGGTAGAGAGATAGAGGTGTTGGGAGTAGTAGTACTAGAAGTTGTATCACTAGCTGAAGTAGTAGTGGAATTCACCGCAAAAGTAGATGGCACATGGGTAGGACGAACAAAGGCAACATACAACTGTTCGTCCTCCTTGTGCTTACGCCATTTCTTGCAGAACTTGATAGCATTTAGAAAAGTCACTGGGGATTCGTGCTTCTCATCCAAGAGGACGGGAAACTTGTTCCCTTGTGCATCTTTGACCATGAAAAGTGACTCCTTCCGCTTGGTCCATTCGCATTGGGATTGCAACCAGCCCAAGCCAAGGACAACATCGAAGGGGCACTTGTCAAGGACATAGAAGTTTAACGTGTGGGTGACAGTTTTGTCTTTGTCAAAGGTAGTGCGCACACCTTTGACTGCATGCGTAGAAGAGACAACATCTTTGTTGCCAACTTGGGTCTGGCAAGGGTTCTGCAAGGCCACTTGCTTCATCCCCAAGCCCACTTTGCATATCCCGTGAGGTGACATGAAGTTAGCCGTAGCATCATAGTCAACCAAAACACGGAGATAGCGGTGGTTTATGAGAAGTTTGAAGAAGATCAACTTCACTGTCCCCTGGCACGCTGCTGTTTCATCTCAGCCCAATGCTCCAAGTGGTAGTGAAAATCGACCGTCCCAGACTCCACCCAAGGCTCAACATACAAAACGTTACTCACCTCAGCCTTTTGTTCAGCAAATGATTGGGCTTTAAGGGAGGACTGCTAATTTGCATCAGATTCAGTATCCCTTGCTGTAGAGTTTGCTGAAGTTGACTCTACGCCTGGGTCTAGTTTCCCTGCAGCCTGTAGCAATCCTGTACTTCGTGATTTGTTTTTTGGCAATGCAGGCATACCCTCTTCTTGAGTCTAGCCCGCCAATCATTTTTAGTGATCCGGAGGTCGACCCAAGGTTTAGTGGTCGCATCCTCCGGTTTTGGTGGGATCTTAATCGCTTGGGAAGTTGGACATAGTTCTTCCCTGCACTCCGATCCGTTCCCTTTGCATGGGCAGCCTTTTTAAAGGCAGTAAAGTTTTCTTCTTCTTTGTTCGCATCATACTCATGGGCTGAAGAACAAGCTGTATCAGAGTCCTGTTCCTGGTCGTCACCAAGAGTGGGGTCATCTGCATCGGCTTCTTCTTGGGCCTCCAACAGGTCATGCACAACAAAACGGTTGCTGCCTTTGAACCGCCTGCCGCCCATGGGATTTTTGCTGCCTGCTGTGGTGACGAGGTCTACAGCTTGAAGACTGACTATGTCCCTCATTAGAGTGAACCAGTCAGTGTACCCAATGAAGTCCTCGCCTAGGCGATTAGTAAAGTTGGTGGGAACCGCGCCTTTGACCACATCCAAGCAAAGATTGAGCAGTCAGTTCCAATCCGGGTGTAGCGAACATCTTGCTAAGGTAAGTCTGCAGGCTTTTCATGGAGGCCGTCCACTTGCTGCGCTTGATTTTGTCAAGCTGGATTCTTGCCCTTGCTGCAGCATGTGGATCCAAGTATTGCGAAATGA